ATGCCACCAGAGAGATACCTGCAGAATTTGTATTACATACTTATGTCCCTACTCGATACTGTAGTTGCAACTAGGGATATAATAATCCCTGATAACAAGGAATAATTCGAGCTAAGGAAATATAAAACATGGACATTTTAAAAGTTAAATACTTCAGCGCTTTGCCCCATTCCAAGGATTCAAAGTGGCCAATGGGGCCCTCCCTGTGGTGCAGCAGGTTAGGACGTAGCACTGTAGGCCAGCCAAGCCACTTCAGTGCGAGTTCGATCCCTGCCCCGGAGGTGACCCACATGGCGCAGCAGACCTCTCCTGTCTCACCCACTGCTCCCTTCAGCAGAGTACTTCGTCGATCTGCCTGTTCTGCTCCCCACTTTGTCGCTGGTGAATCCTCTCACTGCCCCTGCACCTCTGGCCTGTTCCCAGTTCTGTATACATAAATAAATAAATCTTTTTTAAAAAATGGCAAATGCTAAGAACAACAGTATAATAAATGACCCAAAGGAAACAGGTGGATATTAAATTGAGCTGCACTTCTTTCAGAAGTGAGACCTGAGGGAGTTGAAGAGGACAGAGGAAGGTTTCTGGGACAGGCAGGAGTGAGGTGGGCCTAAGGATGAGAATTTGCCTGGACAGAACGGAAAAGAAGCCCTTGTTTCCTATGGAGTGAGACAGAATTTATCAAAGACTGAGTAGAAGAGTTATCAGATCACTTTGAGTGGAGGGTTTCTGACGATAAAACAGGAGATTCGGCATTGGAAAGGACTTTGAATTCCAGACTAATAAGGGGTAAGTAGGAACATGCCTAGGAGATTATTCTTGGTTGTTCTAGCATACCTCATCCTTGAAGGTGAAGGACATGTTTTAGGTGAATCAAGCTGCAGCGGGTGTGAAATGACAGGAACTAAGCTAGTTTTTGCCTCATTCCTGTGACAGTGCTTTACAAAGTGCCGCAGGCCATCTCTGACACTTGCCTTTTCTCTCACTTTTTTTTTTCTGCAGATGGCCGCCCTGCCCCTCCAATGAAAGGGCAACTTCGAAGAAAAGCCCAAAGGGAGAAGTTTGCAGTGAGTGGCTAGAGCAACCTGTGTATAACAGGAGGGCGGAGGTTAAGAGTGTAATTTATCTTGAACTGTGTTGGCACCTAAGCCATATGCTGAAGTTTGAACAGCCAAAGAGGAACAGAGTGAGGCAGTCTTAGGCCAGGAACCAGTAGTAGACATTCTGCCACGAAATCACTGCCTGCTGCTGCAACCCACCCCAGGACTGGGTCCTACCCCTTCCCCAGTGTCATTTTCTAGCTGAAACCTCTGGCTTTGATCTGTGAGTGGAAGGATGTATGGTACATAGCTCAAGCCCCAGATGTCATCCACACTGTTTTCCTGTTTCAGAGACGAGTTGTATTGCTGTCGCAGGAAATAGATGCTGGATTACAGGCATGGCAGCTCAAACAGCAGGAGAAGTTGCAGGAAGAAGAAAGGAAGCGGAAAAATGCCCTTAAACCCAAGGGGATTCTACTACAGAGCCCACTACCTAGTCAATAAAAAGTAGTTCCTGTCTCCTTTTCGCAGTCTTTCTCTGACTTCCTTTTCTGTCATCTAGATGATTTATCCAGACAGACAAGAGCCTTTATGTTCCCCATCTGTCCTCAGAGCAAAAAAGCTTAGATACCTGGAAGATGAACCAAGATTACTGGAAGGCTCAGTGCTCTCACCCCCAGCTTTACTCCAGTTTAGCAGAACCTTGCTTTGGGGGAATTCCTCCTGCTGTTATAGACCATAGGCACTGGCCCAACTCTGACCAGTAGTTCTCTGTAAACGTGGAGAGGCATTTAAACCTTTAACATCACATTACAGTTCAGGCCACATGCTAGTCAGGCATTTAATAAATGTTGTGAAAGAGTTCCAACAGGAGTGCCAAGCAATAGTATCAGTTTTCCTAAACTTTAGAGATATACATATAATCCAAGAGGGTACCCCCACTGAAAAGCTGACATAGGAAGAACCAGACTTAGCATATGCTGCTAAGAGTTGGATCCTAAGATTCCCATGGTTCTGACTGAATTCCAGAGTCAACTGGACAAAAGTCTGTATCTTCTACACCACAGTTTGTATACGGGAGACCCAGAGGTACGCCAATAACTATAGGGTTGGAATCTAACATCCACCATATTGTCACCCCCAAACCTGACAGCTGCCCCAAACCCAGACAATCTTGACATTCTATCAAGCATGGATTCTGGAGGGAAAGGTCCTTTGTCTCTATTACAGTCCAGAGCAATGGACTGCTACATTTTCCTGCACAAAACATTAGTCACTGAGTCTCTGGGATTTCTGGAGCTTCCTACCTGACCTACTTTTTGTTCAGCATCCTATTCCTTCCCTTGCATTCTTTCTCTCCTTCCCCCTCTTTCTTCCTTCCTCTCTCCACTAACCAATGCCAGTTCTTGGATCTTAGATTTCGCTGATGGTCAAATTTTCTGTCTCCCACACTTTTCCTGTTTCTGCTACCGCTTTTCCAGATCCAGTCTCAACCTCTTACCTCTCTCCCTTCAGCTTTAGCAGCTCCTCCTTCCTGCATATCTCCACCTTTTGTTCTCTGAGGCTAGGCTTTCCTTGAAAGAGGTTTTTCCCCTTTAAGGAATTACTCCTTCTCCTCCCCCCCCCATAGAGGGACAACTAAACTTCAAAATTGTTGTTTTCTAACTATTTTGCCATTTATGTTTCCCCAGAGTCTATGGACTTGACCCCTTCCTCCCAGCCAGTTGTAATTTAAGGAGCAACTAGATTGCTGTGATAGTAGTAATAAAGAGAACATGTTTGTCTTTCTATAAAGACAGGACCCCCAGATCCAATATAGTTGTGGGTAGTTAGGTTTTTGGCAGAAGGACACCAGTAATTCAAGGACAGAGAGGTTAAGAATAAGGACAAAAGTTTACATTTAAGTGGGCGGCAGATCTCAGCAGACAACCCCTAGCCCAGGTCTCCTAGACATGGAAAACCCCATTACCAGCCCAGGCTCTGAACTTCTTTGCTTTCAGCCACTGAGAGTCCCAGAGCTTCCCACTCTGAGGTGAGACCAACCCTGAATACCAGAGGAATCCAGCCCCCCAAAATATGCTTAAGAAGAGAAAGTCTCCCACATCGTTTCCTGGGTCCCCCCTCTCAGCCCCCATCTCTCTCAGCGGTCTCAGCCCCTGCAGATGGCAGCCTCCACCACAAAAAAAGCAAGTTAGGGTTTTTTTACCCGGCTCTTGGCTGTAATTGGATTCAGGCTGAGACAACCACGTCCGCACCGGGAAAGGAGGGCATTGGGGCTGGGGCGGGGGCGGGGAAGAGGCCGTGGGAGAAGGAGGGACCAGAGAGGAGAGGACTCCCGATCCAGTTCGGCCGACTAAGCAGAAGAAAGATAAAAAACGAGAAAGAGGGGACGGGCAAGCGGACACTTTCAAGAACAATCCCCTCATCTCCCGGCGGACAGCGCTCGAGGAATCCAAACTCAGTGCCTCCCGAGGACAAAGGCGCCCCGAGGGAGTGGCAGCGCGACCCCAGGCTTGGGCCCGCCGCGGAGCCCGCCCGGCCGGCTCCCTGCACGGCTCCCGGCAGACCATGTCTCCAGTCCCGCCACCCGCCGGCGGTCTGCTGCTGCCCCTGCTCACGCTCGGCACCGCGCTCGCCTCCCTCAGCTCCGCGCAAAGCAGCTTCAGCCCTGAAGTAAGTGAGCTCCTCCGGCGCGGCCCGGAGGCGAGCGGGGGTCCCCGAGGGGACAGCCCCCTTCGGAGAGGGGGGCTCTCGGCTGGATCTGCGCCCCTCCTGCCGCGTACTCCTTTTCCATTCCCTCCTCATCTCCAAACTTCAAGTCGATCCAACTTTTGCTTCCTCCAACCAACTCTCCCCCACCCCACCCGGGACCCGCCGCCAACTTTCTTTCCCGTGCCTTCCCTTGGAAGAACTCTGCAGCTGGGGCCCCCTGTCCCCACCCTCCCCAATTCCTCTGGGCTCTGAGCTCAGCTCTGGAACCATTTGGGAGCGTGATTAATATTTGGACTCCGTGCAGACTCCGCGCCATCCCGATTTCTTGTCAAGCGTGAGAGTTTGTTGTTTCTCCAACTTTCCAGCTCCCGGCGCTCTTCAGTCCGCGCGCCCGCGCTGGGGCGCCGCAGGGAGGGCTGGGGGCGACTGCGCCCCGGCTCCGGCCCCACACGCTGCGGCTGCCGCTTCCCGCCTCCCGGGCGGTCCCGGCCCTCCACAACGCCTCGGCGGCCAGGTTGGGTGGAGGGTGGCCGGCCGGCGAAGCGGCCCCGGCCCCCCAGCCAACGCCTGCTGCCCTGCGTCTGGGGTCGCGGCGCTAGTGCCCGGACGCGCTTGCACACGCACAAAGCTCTCCTTGTGAGCCTGGGGCTCAACCCGGCCTCTGGGCCTCCTCTGCCCCTCCCCGGTTGGCGCCCTCGGGTCCTTTATGTTGTTTTTGATCATTGTTTTTTGTGTGTTAATTGCAGGGAAACTGGGGGCTTCGCACAAGGGAGCGGGGAAAGGGTGCCCACACATGCCTGGACTAACGGGTAGCCCCCAGACCATTCCCGACGTTGGCCCAAGGGGCCAGGGAGGAAGCTGCGTGGGAGTTGTCTGGAGAGGTTTTTCCTCTTTCTCTCTTTTTTATTTTGGGGCGAAGGTGGGAGACGGATTTGATCACCTTCTTATTTTAGGCCATCCCTACCCACTCAGCCGGCAAGGGCCTGGGTGCGGTCGGGAGGGGCCGGGAAGGGCCAGGATGGGGGAGGGGATGTGGACTTGGCCTCCTCTGTCCGGTCTGATCCCACCAGAGAAGGTCCTGCCTCACATCCTGAAGGAGTCCGAGGCCGAAAGAAAAGTGTGGCCTTAGGAATGGGGGTGGCCAGAGAGAGTGAAAAGTCTATCCTGAGGCTAAGCCTGAAAAGGACAAGGAGGAGGAGACATCCTTGACCAGGCCTGGAGGCTTCATCTGAGGCCTGAAAGGGAGAGCGCTTAACAAAAGGAGCCTGGGCATCTGGGGAGCTGCCGGCTGCCAACTCTGCCCGCCCTGCCTCCCTTCCCTCCTTGCCCCACTAGCCTCCGAGGGGAGGGTGGCAGTCCTGCCTCTGTTTTAAGTGGGTCTGAGGCAGTCCCAATGCCAGAACCACCATTTGCTTCTGGGACATGAGGTGGGAAGCAGAGAGAGGGAGGCACAGGGCCCGCTGGAGAGCCAGAGGTGCCCTCCGCCCTCTGCAGGACTCCTAGGCCAGAGCCGGGAGAGTCCCCTGACTTTCCCCCAGGGGAATACCTTGTAGAATTCCGTTTTCAAGACAAAGCCTGACTGAAGTTTTTTGGCCTCAAGAAGTCCCTCTCCAGGCTGGACTGCAGAGAGAGCTGAGGTGGCCAAGGCCTCAGGCGGCTTGGTCCCTCCCACCAGGCATTCATAGTCCTGCACCCGGACAGCCCTCTTTTCCCCCTGGCCTGTCTGGCACCGGGCCCTTTCCCCTCCCAGCCGCAGACACTAGAGTTCTCTCTTCTGTGGTTCCGACCTCATAGTCTCCTCTGTGGTTCATGCTTTACTCAGAGGCTTACCCTGTGACATGGAAAGAAGAAAACCTAGGCCTGGGAGGAGGGCACTTCCTTTCCAGGCCCTGAGGCTCTGTTGACTCCAAGGAAGTCCCCTTGGACCAAGTCTCTGTTTTTATCTTGGGTACCCATCCAGGGGAGGTCGTGGGTGTGAATATGTCACAGCCGGTAGGTATCCTTGAACGACTCACCAGGGAAGATTTACCCCAGAACTCCTCAGCTACGTCGATTTTCCCCACCTCTCTGCCACCCTCCCTTCTGTCATCCTGCCCGAAGAGAATTCCCCACCTCAATCCTAACTCACTACCAGCTCCAGGAGTAGGCCACTCCCATCTTTTCCCAAAGCTCAGGGGTCATAAACCTGGGATGTGTCTATCCTGCAGGTGAGGCTAGGGGTAAAGGGAGTTTCCTGCATACTTGGGCACAGGCCACAGCAGGCCTTCCTTGGGCACTGGCTGTGACTGAAGCCAGCACAGGTCAGGGCAAGCCTACAGCTCCCAGAGAGCAGCCCAGCACAGGAGCACCCTGCCCTGCTCCCCTCTAGTACGCCACAGGTTAACTTGAGGTGGGGTTCTCAGAACCTTGTGGAGCTGAGCTTTGTTTTGGCCAGGCCTGTTTTCTAGAGAAAGGTCATGGTGTTTACCTCTCGGAGCATAACTCCCCTACAGCCTTGGAGGATTACTTCCCAGAACCATGTTGCAATTCTTGCCCCTGTGAGCTCGTGTGGGTCAGCTGCTCCTGAATCACCCCAGCTCCAATGGGAGCGGGCTGTACCAAACCAGGGCCTGGGCCAAGGGGGGGAGGGAGGGGAGCCACCTGGAGATCCAGTGTAATGCCCTGGGGTAGGGGCTGCAGCCCTGCAGCCCCCTCTGGAGTCCTTAAGGCAAAGCTGAAGCAGGGACCAGAGCATAATAACCTGGTTCATTTTACCTTTTCGACATCTGGAAAATACTCCATTACTCTTATAGGTCTTTGCAGTGTATCTACTTTTCAGTTAAACGCCAAAAGCCTTTATATTGTAAATAAATCATAGCATACCTAAAGTAAAATATAGTCCCCAGTCACCACTGCTCCATCTCCCCCGCCCTCTACTGAGAACCTTGAATGGACCTTTAGGAACCAAGTTCTAGGTTAGATGCCACTTGTTTGGGACCGGCAGGTCCTGGCTCTGTGCGGGATCACTCCCTTCCCCACCTCCAGAGGCCCACTTCCCTCTCAGCAGCCAGCCTCAGCCCTGGCTGTTTTTCTGCTCAGTCTCAGGGAGGACGTGCTGTATTTACAACAGTGGAGGAAAGTGCTGGAAGTTGTCTCAGCCCCGAGAAGACAACCTAGAACTTACGCCACCAGGCCATCCCTCCTCAAGAGAGCCATAACCAGTCTGTCCCCAGCCCTGTGTGAGTCCAAAGCTCCAGGATAAAAGCCATACTGGGGCCTGGCCAGAGTTTGGTTGGGTCCAGCCTGAGAATTCCTCCAGACCCACTGCTTGAGCCAGGCAGGGCACTCTTGCCCTTGTCTTACCAAGTCAAGGGTACTTGCCAGGTGCCATGGAGGAGGCAGCGGCTTCCCTTGGATGAGGAGGGGATGCTAAGCCACATCACTTTCCCTACAGGCCTGGCTGCAGCAGTATGGCTACCTGCCCCCTGGGGACCTACGTACCCACACACAGCGCTCACCCCAGTCGCTATCAGCTGCCATTGCTGCCATGCAGAGGTTCTACGGTCTGCAAGTGACGGGCAAGGCTGATGCAGACACCATGAAGTAAGTGCTAGAGCCTAGAAGGAATTCTGCCCAGCACCCACTGCTGTGACCTCTAGCCCCAGAAAGGTTGCTACCTGAAGGCTTGGCTCCGGCCCCATTACCTCACCCCTGCACTCTGCTCCTGACCCTTCCGATGACCCCGACCTCATAACCTTGGCCCTTCCCCACACGGGCACTGGAGCCAGACATCTCCCCTCTCTGTAGACCTTTGCTCTCCCATACACCACACTGACCCAGATCCTGCCCCCAACCCACCCAGAGCCATGCGGCGCCCCCGCTGTGGTGTTCCAGACAAGTTTGGAACTGAGATCAAGGCCAATGTGCGAAGGAAGCGCTATGCCATCCAGGGCCTCAAATGGCAGCACAATGAGATCACTTTCTGGTGAGTCCAACAGGCAAGTGGCCTTTCTCACATCGGGTTACCTTTCCCAATCAGCTGGCAAAGACTCAGACCTCCTGCCTACTCACTGTTCCTGGGAAGCATCCTTGGGAGTTGGGAAGAAAATGGCTATAACCCTGGAAAGAGGTGCAGCCTGCAGAGGCTACACCCCAGACCCAGAAAGCCAAAGCCTGAGGGTCCCCCGAGCCCTCAGTTCTTGGGACAGAGGCATTGTGAGGCTGCAGGAAATGCTGGGTCAGGCAAAGGTGGCTGGGCAGTTCAGTCGGACCCGGGAGAATGCAGGGAAGGAAAATTTTGCCCCTTGTTAGCCTAACACACTCCCATCCTCTCCCCACACGACTGGACCTCAGCATCCAGAATTACACCCCCAAGGTGGGCGAGTATGCCACATTCGAGGCCATCCGCAAGGCTTTCCGTGTGTGGGAGAGCACCACACCACTGCGCTTCCGAGAGGTACCCTATGCCTACATCCGCGAGGGCCATGAGAAGGAGGCCGACATCATGATCTTCTTCGCTGAGGGCTTCCATGGTGACAGCACACCTTTTGATGGCGAGGGCGGCTTCCTGGCCCACGCCTACTTCCCAGGTCCCAACATTGGAGGGGACACCCACTTTGACTCTGCTGAACCCTGGACTGTCCGGAATGAGGATCTGAATGGTGAGCGAGGTAGCCCTAGGACTCTTATTCCCGGGAGAGTCCGTGAGCATTTGTTCAGGGATTCTCCTAACTCCTCCCAAAAGCTCAAACCCCAACATCTCAGGCTACAGGGGCCACAACAATCTTAGGTCTCTCTTCCAAAGAAAGCAAGAATCCTGTGTTGAGCTATTTACGTCTGCTCGCGTCTCTCACCCAATAATTGACTTGCCAAAGACTTAAGAACATCCAATCACCCACCTTTCAGGAAAATGTCACCTCTAGCTCGTGGGAGAAACTGAGATCCAGATAGGGCCTCAGTTTCCCTTAATACAAGTCTTCCTGGAATTGGGATTGACCCCAGATCACGCTCTTCCTTCTACCCCAAGAGGATTACTGACAGGCTTCGTGCCTTAGCTGCCAGATATGAGGCTGGATCTCAGGGTTCAGTCACTCTGGGTGTAAGACATAGCAGGCAGGACTGGGTATGCAACTGAAGCCTCTGGTGGGGAAGCCCAGAATCTAGGGCAGGGACCCAGGCTGTCACCATAAGCACCCCCATCCCTCCAGGGAATGACATCTTTCTGGTGGCTGTGCACGAACTGGGCCACGCCCTGGGCCTTGAGCATTCCAGTGACCCCTCAGCCATCATGGCGCCCTTCTACCAGTGGATGGACACAGAGAACTTCGTGCTGCCTGATGATGACCGCCGGGGCATCCAGCAACTTTATGGTGAGTGATCTACGCCCACGTCTCCACCTTGTCCTCTCCTGATCTAGCTGCGGGTGGCTTCTCCCGCCACCCCCCATCGGGCCCACGCATCTGCCCTGTCTTTTCTTAGCTGATGGCTCCAGCCACCCCTGAGCATCCTACCTCTCCAAGAGTGTTTCTGCCCAGATGTTTGTCTCTTTTTTCCTTCTCTGCCTCCTAATCTGAAGTTCCCCTCTTCTTTTCACTCAGGGAGTGAGGCAGGCTTCCCCACCAAGATGCCTCCTCAACCCAGGACCACCTCCAGATCCTCTGTCCCTGATAAACCCAAAAACCCCACCTATGGGCCCAACATCTGTGATGGGAACTTTGACACTGTGGCCATGCTCCGTGGGGAGATGTTTGTCTTCAAGGTGAGAGGAAGAAGTGGGCTGGTTCGGGATCTCTGTCCAGGAGGCTAGGTGGAAACTGCAGCAGGAGAGCGAAAACCACGGTGGAGCCAGCGGGGGAGTTTTGGGGGTTCAGTCAAGCTACGAGACCTAATGTACTGTTCCCGCCTGGCTGTCACCCAGGAGCGCTGGTTCTGGCGTGTGAGGGATAACCAAGTGATGGATGGATACCCAATGCCCATCGGCCAGTTCTGGCGGGGCCTGCCCGCTTCCATCAACACGGCCTACGAGAGGAAGGATGGCAAGTTTGTCTTCTTCAAAGGTAACCCGGCATTCTGCTGTCGTCTTTGGTGTGGGGAGTGGCGGGGAACTGACTCCTCCAAAGGCCCTAGAGCTCAGTGGAACCCCAGCCCTGTCCTCCCTCCGCCCCCGCCACCCCCCCAGGAGACAAGCACTGGGTGTTTGACGAAGCCACCTTGGATCCTGGCTACCCCAAGCACATTAAGGAGTTGGGCAGAGGACTGCCTACCGACAAGATCGATGCTGCTCTCTTTTGGATGCCCAATGGAAAGACCTATTTCTTCCGAGGAAACAAGTAAGACCACACCCCACTTTATCCTTGAGATGGTTCCTTGGAGAAGGAGCTGGCTGGGGCTCCGCTATGGCCCAGCAACAGCAGCCTCCTCTGCGTGCCGAGTGAGTGGGATGTGACCCGGTCACCATTTCAGACCTGGTCATTTGATGCCTCCTACCCCAGCACTGGGCCTCCGCCCCAGCAGCCAGGCACTGTCATTAAGGCTGCTGGTGGCTCCTTGCAGCCTGAGCTCCTTCCACCCCCACCTTCCTGCTTTCAGCTGTAGGCCCTCATTACTCAGAACCTGTCCCCCACCCTGTCCACAGCCACCCTTTGCTCACTGGTGGATTCGGTCCCAGATCCTGCTACCCAGTGACAGCCCAAGTGTCCAACCACACCCACCTCTCCCCCACCCAGGTATTATCGTTTCAACGAGGAGTTCAGGGCGGTGGACAGCGAGTACCCCAAAAACATCAAGGTCTGGGAAGGAATCCCTGAGTCTCCCAGAGGGTCATTCATGGGCAGCAATGAAGGTGAGAAGGGCAAGGGGACAGGGGTGTGTAAGGGGAGGATGGGAACAAGGAGTTATCCAAGAGCAGAAGAGCCAAGAGGACAGTGATCACCTTTGGGGGGCCCTTGCCACGTGCCAGCACTTTCCACACACCAAGCCACTTTGGTAGCATTACCCCAGTTACAGCTGAGGAGACTGGAAAAGGTCAAGAGGTGAACTCAGGGCCCTCCCTGGTGGTGCAACGGGTTAAAGCGCAGCACTATGAAGCTCTCCGCAGCCACTGCAGCACGAGTTCGATCCCCAGCCAGGGAGGTGACCAACATGGCGTGGCAGACCTCTCCTGACCCGCCCGCTGTGCCCCTCAGCAGTGTATTTCAGCCAATAAAAAAGGGGGGGAGGGGGGATGAACTCAACCAGCTGCACACTGACAGATTTCCCTTCTGCTCTTTCTTCGGGTCTCCTGGATGCTGCCCCCACCTCTTTTTCTTGTCACCTTCTTGCTGACCACCCCCCAACCCCTTCCCAGGCTTCACCTACTTCTACAAGGGGAACAAGTACTGGAAATTCAACAACCAGAAGCTGAAAGTCGAGCCGGGCTACCCCAAGTCAGCCTTGCGGGACTGGATGGGCTGCCCCTCTGGGGGCAGGCCGGATGAGGGGACTGAGGAAGAGACAGAGGTGATCATCATCGAGGTGGACGAGGAGGGCAGCGGGGCCGTGAGCGCGGCTGCTGTGGTGCTGCCTGTGCTGCTGCTGCTCCTGGTGCTGGCGGTCGGCCTCGCCGTCTTCTTTTTCAGACGTCACGGGACCCCCAAGCGACTGCTCTATTGCCAGCGTTCCCTGCTGGACAAAGTCTGACCCCCACCACTGGCCTGCCCACTCCTGCCACAAGGACTTCGCCTCTCAAGGCCAGAGGCAGCAGGTGGTGGTGGGTGGGCGCCTCCCACACCTCCCTGAGACCCCTCCTGCCCCTCACTCCCTCGTCCCTCCTCTGTCCCGTGACTGGCCTCTCCCACCTTCCACCCTGGCATCGCTTCTTCCCTAGATGGGTCCCCTGGGGTTCAAGAGGCTTCGCTCCTCCCAGCCCCTGCCCCTCGGGGGAACCCCGTAGCTTGGTGTGTGTCCACCCCCATCTGAATGTCTTGGCTCTGCACTTGAAGGCAGGACCTCCGACCTGGCTGGTAAAGGTCACATGGGGTCATCTGCTCCTTTTCCATTCCGTGACATACCTTTAACCTCTGAACTCTGACCTCAGGAGGCTCTGGGCACTTCAGCCCCTTCTAGTCCCCAAGTGTAGCCAATGGGCAATCTCCCACCACTCTTTGTGGCTAAAAGAAGTCTAGCCTTGCTGTGGGGGTGACCCGGGAGAGTATGAGTGGGTGGGGGCTGCACGGCCACCCTAAGCCCTTGGGAGGAAAGCTCAGAGAGGGTCAGTCTTCTGCACAGAGACCTGCCTCTGCCTCCCTCCCGCCTCCCATGGAAGGGGCCTGAGCCATTGAAGACTAAACTGGGACTGCAGACACCTCTGTCAGCCCGACCCTCCCGGATGGTAGCCATGGACAGGGACATCGAGATTGGAAATGCTGAGACCTGGGGGTACAGACACTGGGGAGTGAGGCCAAGTGGAGACTCCATCCAGAGCCCTAGGCATGAGCCAGAAGACCACACAAAGGAAGAACTTGGTTCAAATGCAGATGGCTGGAGCAGGGACCCTAAGGGCAGAGCAGCCAGAGGGGACAGGACAGGATGGGACCAAAAGGAGATGCAGCAGGTGTGGATGGCTGGAGGCCGGGCAGGCCAGGAGGGATGCCTTGGGTGGGCTGTGTACCCCCGGAGGACACATTCTCTTGGGGCACTCAGGAGGGGCACACCTGCTCCTCATTCATTTCTTCTGACCAGACAGGTAAGAGGGAGGATGTCCAGAGGAAGGAGTGGAGACGTCATATGTGGGGCTCAGCCCTTGAGAGTAGCCACCTAGTGAGGGGCAGCAGAGGCTGGCGGTGCTGTCTGGGCCTCAGCCAGGGGAGGCAAGTGCCTGGGTGTTAGGTTAGCCCCCCGTTTCCTGATACCCTGCCTCTTAGCCCATCCTACTGGTTTACTGACCCCTTCTCCCCCATCCAGCCCACCCATTTGGAAGTCTCCTTCAGCCACCAAAAGTGGTCATGGTACTGGGGACTTGGGAGTGAGAGACCCTATGGGAGAAGTGAGAGGAGAGGGATGTGGGGGGCAAAGGGGGGTGGGAGAAATGGGGTGAACGGTGCTGGCAGTTCGGCTAAATTTGTCTTGTTTGGGGTTTTTTTTGTTTTGTTTAATGTATATTTTTATTATAATTATTATATATGAATTCCCTTCAAATTGTTCCTTTTTGTTAACAAGGGGCATGGGGAGGGGTGGGGGTGGGGGGCAGAGGCATGGACCCCAGGAACCTGCAGGGCGGGGCTGGGTCAGTGACCTCTATGGACAGTTTTGACCTTGTTCAACCTTTCCACAAAGAATAAACGGTGTTCACATTCTTTGTGTGGCTGCAGCTCTCTTAAAAGGGTGAATGGGATGTGGCCAAGAGGAGAATGGAAAGGGGAGAACAGGCCTCATGAGCAGCGTTTTCCATGAGGTGGGGTTTTGGCACTTTTCATAAAGGAATATGTTTATTCTTAGTGGATGAAAGGGGTGTGGGGGGCAGAGTTAAGGAGGGCATACTTCATGGGACTGGGGACTGGCCCACGGAAACCAGTTGCTTTCTCCAACGTGGCTTAAAATGCCATCTTTGAGGCCCAAAGGCAAGAGGAAGTAGTCAGGCTGAGGCCTCACAGAAAATCTTCCTGAGTTGAGTTGCGTTACCATCCTGTGCTTTAACCACAGGCCCTCAACTTCCTCGGGCTTCTGTTTGCTGCTCAGTGACCCTCAGGATCTAATGGAGGTCATGGCAACAGACCCTTCACCCCAGGCCTTGGGATCTAAGTATCTTCCAGGCCCAGGGCCTCCTGCTGCTGGCACAGAAGTAGCTCAGGAGAAAGTGGTTGCCCCTCAACCAATTAAGATTAGCTTATGCATCACCCCAACTGCCCAGGAGGGCCAGGGTAGTCAGGTTGGAAGGGCAGAATAGCAAGGTCTTGTTTCCTCTTCCCTTAAAAACTGCTGCCCCAGACTGGGTTCCCAGGTTGTGGACCCACACGCTTCCCGAAACCAGCCTGCAGGGAGGAAATCACTCAGCTGCTGAGTCAGCTCAGCTGGAGGGGAGCAGCCTTCTTTCCCCTCTTCCCTTCCTGCCTCAGCCCAGCCCAGCCCAGCCCAGCCCAGCCCAGCCCATCCTGGGCTCTAGCCCAGGTCCCCTCCACAGCCAGCCTGCAGAGCTCTGGCCCCACCTAGGCCAGCCTTTCTCTCCAGCTGCTATTCAGGGCTGCTTGGTGTGATTGCTTTGGCAGAAGGGGTACCCCACCTTCCTGCCAGCCAGGAACTCTTGGCCTCCTGCACCTCTCCTGCCAACAGCTGTTTGGCACAGTTTCTAAGCGGAACAGGACACCACCTCCTCCCCACCCTCACCAAAGGGGATGGGACTGGGGGCTCTGAAAAGTTGGCATGGGGAAGTCAGGGGTATTTGGGGGTCGTGGGGCCTGTGCGTGTGGCAAGGAGCTCAAAAATGAGCTCATGGCCCCTTTGTGTTTTTGTGGTCCACATCTGGAGGTAATTACAGATGTTATCCAGTGGGAGTTCAGCAAAACACAGCTGGAGCCAGTGGAGGAGCCTGGGGAGGGGGAACTGCCAGAGGGAAGAAAGAGGAGGGGAGCCTAGGGCTCCCGGCTGCTGGAGTGCGGTTTCCCCATCACGAGGAAATTGTTTGGCCCTGATTCTGGAATCACAAGATGCTCTCTCAAGCCAAGAGGGGAATGGAGGACCAGAGACAAAGGGAGAAGAGGTGGAAGAGGGCTTCACAAGCCGGGAGAATTGCGGGGTGTTTCTGATGCCCCTGAGAAAAATGAGATCTTCCCTGAGGTCGCCTGGAGACCCCAGAATGTGCCTCATCCATCTGGGTTAGACAGGGGTCAAGGGAGAGCAGAGGGCCCTTTGGCTCCCAGAGACTTACAAACACTGGCCTTATCCAGCTTTGTCCATTGGGCCTGACCCAGTTTCTATGGTTCCAAGTTCCTTTATTCGAAAGCAGCACATGTGAGCTAGTGCTGCCAGAGGGAGCCGAGGGGAATCTGCGAGGAAGTTTGGCAGAGCCTGGAAAGCTGCTCTAAGATGCACTGGGGGCAAGTGCCTGAGCGGCAGCAGCAGCAGCGCTCTGACCACCACTGCACCCACATGCTTGAGTGGGGAGCCATGGAGTCCCTTGTCATCGCCAGGGCTCCATCTGGGCCCACGACTCCAGGGCTGCCAGCCAGGCACTAGATCAGTGGGATGGAAGGGAAGGGACAGAAGACCTCAGGGAGCTGGGCCCTGAGGAGAGAGGACAGGGGAGAAGGACTCTACCCTCAAACTGGCCAACTCAGGTCCTTACTGTCCCTCCCTCAGAGTCCCTTCTGCCCACAAGCTGATGAACTTTCCAGCTAAGAAGCAGTGATGAGAAACCAACTTTTGCTGAGGTCCTCACAATACCAACATTGCCCCCATTTTACAGATGTGGAAACCGAGACCCAGACAAGACTCACTTAAGATCACAACTTCCTAGTCCAGACAGACCAGTCTGATTCATTTTTCAATACAGGCAGATTCTAACCATGCCCTTAGGGGTCTCTCCCAGTATGGACCCAGAACAAGTGTTTGTCTGCTGTGTATAACAGCGGTGGCACCACAGGGAGTGGGAGTGCAGGGGGCAAGGGTCTTCATCAGCCCACTTTGCCAGCAGTCACCTCCCTTGGGGAGGGGGGGGCAGGATCAGGTAAGGCAAGGAGGGAAGCATCATGCACTGGGACTCACAGCTAAAAGGGTCTAGAAGAGGTGTCTAGAAGCCACTGTCTGACTCGTGAATGTCAACAAAACCAATTAGATTTCAAAAAAAGAAAAGAAATCTGAGGGGCCAAGTGAGACAATGGTGGGGAAGGGGAGAGGGGAGGGATGGGATCAGGGGGAGGGAGAGCCTTCAGGGGCACTTCCTAGTCCCTAAAGCCCCAAGGCTCTCCCCTCAAGGCTGCTCCATTGTCCTAAATCTCTGTACCCCTTTCCTGCATACCCGCACCACAAATCCAAATCTACTTCCCCCAGCATACCAATTCCTGCACACCTAACCTGGGGTATTCTGCCTTCCTCCCTCAGGCAGTTTTGGGAGGCTGGGGACACCCAGAGGCGGCCTGTGAGGGGGCTGGGCAGCTTGAGCTGGGGAGGGAGGCAGGCCTGCTTGGCCAGAAGCCACCTTCCAAATGAGCTCACATACATACTTTCCACCCTGGCCCAGGGCCTAGGGCTCAGCTCCTTCCAGGCCAGCCTTCCCTTGCCAGGCCCAGCCCCCTCTGTCCTCCCTGCCCCTCACTAGCCCTGAACCCAGGGCGCCACAACATAAGGAGGCATCTCAGGCCAGGGCTGGCTTCACATGCTAAGGAACCAGCTTCCTCCACGGCCTCAAGGCTGAGAGGTGGCCCCAGGTCCTCTGTCCCTAAAATGGAAACTTCTTGGCTTGGAGATGGAGGAGACCAGCTTCTTGCCACCAAAGAACCACACCTGTGTAGGGAGGGCAGACGAGGGGACAGAAGAGGTGTCTGCGCTGCAGTGAATTGGTGGAAGGACTTCCTTCAAGCGTCTGAAGTAGTTCGTTGACGCAGGGGCAGGTCAGGTCTGGAAGCTGCCTCATCTGTGTGGGTCACTTCCTGACCGCTTACTCGATTTCCCACTAAGCGCACTCTCCAGATTTGGAGCAGGATAGGATCTGGGTGGGGTGTGCCAGGCTGACAACAAAGAGGGAGAAAGACCTGGTGCCTCTTAAGTGCTAAGGATTCACACACACGGGACAGGCTCGAGCTCACTTCGATACAGCCTGCGGTCAAAGCGTCACTCTCTACTGACTTCCAGAGACACGCAGCCCTAAGACACAGAGAAAGATCAGTTCCCCAAAATGCCCTCCTCAGACACTCAGGGCCTGAGTTATGCTAGGAGTCAGATCTCCAGGACCATATTCGGGATCCAATAATACCCTCCTGATCTTCTGTGAGTTATTTATTCAGACGTTGGACAATTCATCCCATTTGAATTCCCCAAATATGATATGACCACTGCAAACACATCACATGTCCAGATGTTGCCTTCCAAGGATAGTTCTCTCAGAGAATGACTATGATCCTTAATCATACTAACCCCATCATGGCCCCTGGACAAGCACATTTTGTCCACACTTCCCTTGGGTCCCCCCAAAAAAGTTTACTGGTATGAATTGCCATTGAGAAGTGTGATAGACATAAGTAAACAGCATTAGTTATGAATATAGTATTCTATACGTATATACATAGTATTGTATGTATTGTTTGTGTAAAGTAGTGAACCATAAGTTGAAAAATCACTGAGTGCATTTTATGAACTAGATCATTTTTATTCCACCTCAAATTTTTTAAAAGACTTATTTATTTATTTTTGGCATAGAAGAGCTGGGGTATGGGCCGGTCAGAAGGGTCTGCTGTGCCATGTGAGTCAGCTCCCTGGTGGGGGATTAAATTCTGGTACTCAAGGAGAATAGCGCTGAGACTTAACCCCCAGGCCACATGGGAGGCCCTTCTTCCATCTAAATTGTTAATTTGTTAAATGGAGGGAAAATGTATGTCAGTAACGTTTGTAACTCCAGAACAACTATTTTGTTCTTTTAGGACTCCTCCTGTGTTCCAACTCTTGGCACCCAGCCTGCCCTTAATCTGACGTGGTTGGTATTGGATTGGGCTGGTCCAATTCTTCTGGAAATGCCATCCTTCATATTGTATCCCATTCCAGCCTACAACTAGAACTTGAAATGAGGTGTCATTCCCTGTAACCCTCTAACCCCAAAGGTTCTCCTTCACCCTACTGGCTTGTGCTCCAGAGGTCCCTCTACCCAAGTCTGCACTAAACTGCACATAATTTGTAGAGGAAAGTTGGAAGAACATCCATTTCACTTGATGCGGCTAGGTACACCCTTTCTGCAGCAGAGACAAGCGGGGCAGGTTTTGCAGGGTGGTAGCGCCCCCTTGTGCTGGGTAACGGCACTGCAGCCCTAGCTCAGAGACCTAAGAGGCAGGCGCAGACCACCCACTCGTCCCCCTTTCCACTTTCCAAGTTTCCACCTAGGACACCTGTACTTAAAGGAGTGGGACTATGGGCGCGGCAGACTAGTCTTTCCAGCTTCAGAAAGGGAAAAGTCAGAGTTTCCGTTGGCTGTCTGTGTGGAGGGTTGGTGGGCAGCCCTCAAATATTTCTGGAAAAGAAAAAAGAATGGAGGGGGAGGTGGACAGAGGGTCCACCGAGGAAGGGAAGGAGGGAGGCATTTGATTTCTCTCCTCGAGTTGCCACACTGCCCTCCTATGGACACCTCAGTCACCCATCGCTCCAGGTTACCTGA